ACTCCTGTCGCGTGCCTAATTTAAGGATTTCTCCTTCAGAACCAACAGCACTCAGAGATAATTATGTTGAGTCGTTTGGCTCGTATTGGTCTAAGGGATTCCCCGTGGCCAATATACGCTCAACTTATCTCTGGAGTAGGGCAACTCAAGTATTGGCACTACAAAATATATCAGTATATGAATACAATATTTCTAGGCACACTTGGCTGGACACCCCCACTACTTACTAAAGAAAGCCCCCAGGTTATGATAAGTCATTATCAGCTGTGATCACACAGCCGATACTGATCTCTCTACAGCAGTGACTACTTTACAGACATCATTCTAGGTACTCGTAAACTATAATTAACTTACCCAAGCATATGTAAAACCTGAGACATTCCAGATTGCCTTGAAAAATGAAATTTATACAGGCATAGATTAACACGTCTGGACGCTTGAGACCGGCAAGAGAGAATAGCGTCACTTAGACACTTCAGGCGTTGGTAACAAAAGAAGTTCCTTGTATACGTGAGCAAGGAGTAAATCGGTTTCCACGAAACCTCAAATAACTCCCTTAATATATATCGAAGAGATATACATTTAAAAATGGAGTTTAGTTAAAGCAACCAGAAAGTGTAGACATAATAATGTTGTCCAATAAAGGCCTATATATAGAGATATAAGGGACTATAACTTTCCGGGCGAGTCCAAGTTTGAATTATGTGAAGATTACAGGTAAGACAGGTTATCAGCCTTACAGACCGATGCGTAATGGCTATCATTTCACGACAGTAAGCAAATGTTAAGAGTCCATCTTGATAACGCTATCGACTATCAGGAGAGAGACAAAATCTCAATAGCATCATCAGAATTTTAAGAGATTGTCCCAAAATCGATATCGTTATTTAAGAGCACATATATCCTTCACGACATCACTAGAATACACACAGAAATATAATGCGCTAGACTACAGCTATTTAATTCTATTAACTATAGTACAACAAACAATAACGGACTTTGAAACAACACCTTAGGTTCTAACACGGACAAAAGATACCTGTCAGAACTATACCGATCACAACTGATGTTTAAACATGGATGAATGTCCCATTTTACCTATCACTACAAACAACTGACGCACACAGCTGGGTTCAAACACAGACGAGGCTCAATTCAACCTGTCAGAGACATTATGTCTGTCGTAAGGGTTTGTGTCGAAGGTCCGTGACAAATAAACCTATCCTAAACAATCGAAACCCAAACACCTACAGAGCATACAACATTATTTAATGTACAGAGCAATATACCAGAAGTCGTGAATACTCCTATCCGAAACAAAGGCCGCGAGGGCTTTATAAATCACCTCTCACTCCTTATAGCGTTCCTATTATTATTAACTGGGTCCGAACCCACGCCATTTTCGTACAGCTCTTTATACTGTAATTGAAGCACAGACTATCGGTTACTATGTTATAAACACAACACATTGCAATCTAACCGTCAAAAGATCACAAGTCTCGGTTCTTTCGTCTTTATTCACCCTAATGACGTCACGATGACGTCATGCAACATAAATAATTTTGAGGGTGGTAAGATGGGGCTGTTCCAGTGTGTTTCCAGGTCTTCCGGCACTGCCAAGCTTTACGCAAGTCTTTGGCGCGCGTTGCCAAGGCGATACTAACGATCGAAAGGTTATGCATGCAAGTGAAACGGGCGCAACTTTACCAAGGCGGGACTTGTCGCGAGTCGTTTACTACACAGTTAGCGGAGTTTCACTGGCCGTACAGTCACCATTATTGAGGCCCTGTTATGGTATTTTCTTAGCCTCGAAAAGTTAGGACAGTTATTCGGAGTAGAGCAAATAATTGTATTATCTGTAAAATTACGCTAATGTTCTTTGTAAATAATTAATACTTAGGTGATATGTTGCCGAAAGTGTGCGAAGAGCTGATGTATAATTTACATGTACACAAAACAAGAAAAACATGCTTGTGGGAGTTGAACGCGGCAACTTTCGATTGTAAGGCAGATTTGATACCAACTACACTAGACATTCACATTGAAACGAGATCCGAAAACATGACCAGTAGTGTACACCAGCCAACTACGCACTAATACACAGACACATGCAGCCGATTGTGCACCAATACACACAAAATATGCCACACAAAAACACAGCTCAAAAAGCTCGCACTTGCACGGCAAATGAAATGATATCACCCCCTGAAATAGTCATCTATCCCGTCAGCTGTTGATTTCCCGTGTGTGGGGTGAATAAAGACGAAAGCACCTAAGTCTCTAGTCTGCAGTTTCACGTCCGGAAAGCAAAACCTCTCTGTGTCGATCTCTCGATGATTTTGTTTCAGTAAGCAGTTCAGTCCCTGGTCTTACCGGACTGGTGACTTTGAAAGCAAACCACTCAGTGAGTTATGACTTCCTACCGTCGTCAGGTTGTCTCCGTAAACTCCAGAGGCATGTCTTGGTCATGTAAGGGCAGATACGAAAAATTCACTACTATCATACTGGCTGTCCCATACCTACACCAGACTAGCCTCTGAGAAATATGCTGCTATGACTTTTTGCAGAAAAAAAAAAATTGGGCAAATAGTATGTTTTGTCGTAGTGTTGGGTGAATTTGGATCACACAGATGTCAGATTGTCATGTAAACTAGTTACTTGATGGGTTTAGGGGTCAGAACAGCTGCCAGTTTAACCCACTGAGACAAAGTTAGAAATGATATTATCATACAAACTGTGATAACAACACTATGCAGCAAATTCTTTGAGAAACAGAAGACCAAATGGATTTGGTCATATAGCTAGAATACAGCCAGAACAACTACCCACGCAGGCGCTACACGCAAACAGATCTGAAGTAAAAGCAAAGGTCACCTTAGGAGATATGGATTGCTTAGATTAAGATCTGACTCTCCATGCATGGCGGTTCGTTGCAATCGACTCGGAGTGAAAATAACCCATTGCTGAGATTCTTTTCCCCCTGGGGTGTCATCAAGCAATGGATCGTAAACTTTTTCTCCCAACTGCGCCTAATGGCAGAATTAGAAACTGATTACTAATAGTCTTTTCTGAAATGTTTGTGACTATGTAGAATTAAAAGGATGTTGCTTTGGTTTTCGACCAAAAGAAGCTGTGAAGACCAAAAATTATTTTTAAAAAAATATATATTATAGGAGTTAGTTGGAATAAAAAGTGTAATTATGAACCTTGAAAGAGAACGACAGAGTGAGCACAATTCATTCTCTTGATTGAGCGTAGGCACACTTCCGCTCAGCTGTAGGTCGTAGGCTAAGCCGTAAAGCGAACAAAGTGGTTGTTTTTCAGTGACCGGAAAGTGGGACTGTGATTTACGTGTGTAGATACATTTCTTTGTATTTATATTTGTGAAAAAGACTGTTTTCAAGTGTGAAGTGTTAAGCAACTATACATCGCAAATGTTCTATACCTGAGTATCGCTCGAATTATGATCTTTCAAGTGAATATGTGAGTCTGTCGATCTATGCAAACGTTCCTGACTGAAAATGAACTTGCACATAAAGATGCTCAGGGCAAAGGGAAGAATGGTAACAATGGTCGTACACCCCATCCCAATGAATCCCCGAAAAAGATTACATCCCCCAACCCTAGAACCCCTCTAAGTTTCGGGGATCTCAACAGATACAACCTTTTAATGGGTCTAAAAGCCCATACTGTAAGAATTGTAGAAAAATACCCACCATACAAATGATTGTAAGGGGAAACAGTCAGGAGGTTTACAGATGTCAGCTTTAATATCTACTGTTGAGCCCTCTTCCGCGGACACTTGCACAATTGTTCCAATAGGATAAACCCGTGGTAGAGAGGGTCAGGACCACTGGATTACAGATATTTGTCTGTACGTAGCGGTCTCAGCTATTCAGCTGTGGTTAGAACACTGCAAAATGTAACTTCACAATTGTCATTGTCTACTCATACTGGCAGCATCTCACAGTACTTGAAATTGATACAATATAAACTGACCAAAATGACTGTTAATTATTGATTTCGGAAGGATTTGTCTCTAGTAAGTTGAACAAAAAAGTTCAGTGTGCTGTGTACAAGACTTTACAGAAAATGGACAGGCCATTAGCATATGATGATGTTGACTCAGGTGCAATGTCCACAGACTACATACAGCTGCTTGACCGTAGAGGTTTGAAATACCCTTCAAAGTTTATAATTGTATTGACTGTTTGTAGCATTTGTAGTTATGCAGAAGCTTATATCAACTGAGTTGAAAACAAAATTTCTAGCTGCAAACATAAAAAAAAAAAAAAATGTTTATGCATTTTTTTTCACGCAGTTTACATTTCACTGATGAAATAGGTGGTATCTGGGACGAGGGGTTTTTCTAAAGTATTAATTGCTTCAAAAGCGCTACTACCTCTGGCGAATGTTTTTTTTTTTTTTTTAAATTTTTTATAAAAAGGTCCAAAACGATACATCCTTGCTGGATAAGTCATCCAAGAAAAGGAAACAGTTCACTCATCAATTTACAGATGATTATGTGATAACATTTTGGGACATACTACAGCTAAAATGTAAGTAGTTTCGGTTGTACTTTTTGTTTTTATTTTGTCATATTGTGTATACCTATATACAAGCTTTATTATCTTGCTTATTTGTATAATTTTTGTGAGAGTACTCTGGGGGCGGTTGTGGGAACATACCGACAACACGAAACTGTCAATGAACACGGAACGGATGGTTAGTCCGCGGTGGTAACGTCACGTCAAAGTGATGTCGTCAGCACCTCGGCTTTTATCTGGAGAAGGCATTGGTGAGCACTTGGAGGCTGGCTCACGGTGAGGCGATTTTGTGGATCACTAAGGATGGAGGTGTGTCATCTCTGCAGATGAAGATAGGAAAGTGTGTGCGCTCTCCGAGCCTGGAGTGTAGAGATGGTGCAGTGGTTGTTTGCCTGTCTCCTCCAGTGCAGCAACAATTTGATATTTTTTTTTTAAAGACCCGTTTATCAACACATGGCCTCACAAAAACCGCCTCGGTTGCCATCAGAACTTGAAAATGACCAACAGACGGCCGTATTATATTCGCCTTTCCGAGAGAGGTCGCTGAACCCGCAGTCGTGGAGCAAAAAAATGCAATTCTGGCAACAAGTATTGTCGCAGACGGCGCTGGAGAGACGAATGGTCACTGTTGATGTGCCGGCGCTGTCTCTCTTGTTTGAGCGGAACGGCATTGTACCCAAGTGTCTGGGCACAGTTGTTGAAGAAATGAAGAAGTAAGCCATCTGCTTCTAAAGCGGTTATTTAACCCTTTTAGCACGGGAAGTTTTTCAGAGGTCTAGCCAAAAACACGGAGCATTTTTTCAGTGGTTATTACTTTATTTATTTTTTTTGGACAGATTTCTGTTATTCTCACCCCCATGAAATAATATATCTATTTGAAGGATATAGATTGAAGTTCGTGATTTTCACAATATCGTTAAAATTAATTGATGGATATGCAAATTGTAATCGTGATGACGGAGTTAATCCTGACTGTTTTACCAAGGAAATCCACTGTATCAGACTAAGAAACAGAATGCGAATAGGAACGTGGAATGTGAGAAGTCTGTATGAAGGAAAGCTTAAAGTAGTATGTGATGAGATTGAAAGATTAAATATTCAGATCTTAGGAATTTGTGAACATCATTGGAGTGGCAAGGGACATTTTATCAATGAATATGGAACTTTTTCGTATATTCTGGTAGAGATGTAAGAGGCCAGAGCGGAGTGGCATTTTGTTTAGATAAAACAACAGCAAAAGCTATTATGGGATATAATCCAGTTAGTGATAGAATCCTAACTATCAGACTTAAAGGCCGTCCAAAAAACATAACTTTCATGCAGGTATATGCACCAACTTCAACAGCAGAGGAGGGCGAAATTGAAGATTTTTATGCCATACTGCAAGACACATTAAATAAAATTAATCAGATGATATAATAATAATAATGGGAGATTTTAATGCTAAAGTAGGTACAGGCAGAGCTGAAAATGAGAGACACGTTTTAGGAAAATTTGGATTGGGTAATAGAAATGAAACAGGAGAAAAAATTGATTGAATTTTGCATAGAAAATGAATTAACAATAGCTAACACACTTTATAAACAACACCCTAGAAGGCTTTTCACATGGACATCCCCTGACGGTGTTACCAAAAATCAGATAGATTACATTTTAATACAAAGAAGATGGAGATCGAGCATAACATCTGCAAAAACCCTGCGAAGTGCAGATTGCGATACAGATCATCAGTTACTAGAAGCAGATCTGAAATTAAAACTCAAAAAGCTTACCCGAGGACCAAGGCCATTTCGATTTGATCTCACAAAAATACCAGATGCATACAACGTAGAAGTGAAGAACCGTTTTGAGGTCTTGATGTCTGTACAAGAGGAAATGACACCTGATGAACTGGCGGTACAAGCTAGGGATATCTTGATAACAGCAGCTAAAGACTTAATACCCACCAGGATTAAGCAACATAAACCATGGATCACACCATACACGTTAGAACTAATAACACAACAAAGGGAACTGAAAAAGAAAGGAGAAACCAATGACAGTAGGATGAAGTATAAATTTTTAACACGAGAAATAAGAAAGTACACAAGAAAGGATAAAAATCAGTATGTACAAGATTGCTGTATTAAAATAGAGCAGCATCATAAAAATGGAAGAGATTACGAAATGTTCAAGGAAATGAAGTTATTGACAAGAAATTTTCAACCTCAGTTAAATGTTATTTGTGACAGGTTGGGAAATACTTTAACAGAATCTAGACAAATTCTAGGAAGATGGCAGGAATACTGCAGCGGAATGTATGATATGAATGACAGTGAGGATATGAATGATATACATGAACCAGTAACAGTAGAGGCAGAACCTGAACCTTCATTAGATGAAATTTCATGGGCAATAAGGAGCCTGAAAAATGGGTAAATCACCTGGATGTGATGAGATACCAGCTGAATTGATTTAAGCGGGAGGAGAAGAAAGCATAAAAATCTATCATGCATTATGTGAAAAGATATGGAAATATGGTATTTGGCCAAAAAGACTGGAAGAGAACTATCTTCATTCCAATACCAAAAAAGGGTGACCTGAAATTATGTACAAACTATCGAACTATTGCCCTGATCAGTCATGCAAGTAAAATTCTACTAAAAATTATAATGAGAAGACTGCATAAGAAAATGGAAGAAGAGATTAATGTAGCTCAGGCTGGATTTAGACAGGGAAGAGGAACAAGAGATCATATATTCAACATGCGTTTAATAATAGAGAAGTGTAGAGAATTAATGTAAATCTGTTCTTATGTTTTGTGGATTATTCAAAAGCATTTGACTATGTACAACATCAGAAGCTTTGGGAAATCATGAGGAATATGGGCTTTCCATCACATATAGTGCAGCTCATTAAAATGCTCTATCAAGACCAACAAGCAGCAGTCAGAATAGATGGAGAGACATCAGACTGGTTTGGCATCAAGCAAGGAGTCCGCCAGGGATGTGTGCTGTCACCGTATTTGTTCAACCTGTACGCCGAAAAATATAATGAGAAATGTAAGAGATGATATAAACAAGGAACAATATGATGCCCTAAACATCGGTGGTCATGAAATACCAGAAATTCATTATGCTGATGATACAGTATTACTATCAACATCACAAAATGGTTTAGAAAACTTATTAACCTCACTCCAAAGAAATAGTGAAAATCATAACTTATTTCTTAACATAGCAAAAACAAAGATAATGCATACAAACAAAAACTGCCGTGGAGAAGGAAAAATATATGTTAATGAGGAAAGATTGGAAGTGGTGGAAAATTTCGAATATCTTGGGTCACTGGTTACCAACAATGGTGACACAATGAAAAGAAATTAAACGGCGACTATCAATTGCTCTTCAAAGACTAAAACAACTGAATAAATTATGGAATTGTACAGATAGAATTACAAAGGTCAGATTTTTAAGAGCATGCATCTTTCCCATTGCAACATACGCCTGTGAGACCTGGACACTTACTAAACAAGCGGAACAGCGCATAAATGCATTTGAATATAAATGTTACAGACAGGTTCTAAGAATATCTTGGGTAAAGAAAAGAAACAAATGCATCCATACTTCAAGAGCTGAATATTGAAGAGGGTTGGCTAGTAAAGACAATAAAACAAAGAAAATTGAAATATTTTGGTCACTTGAAACGTCATGGAAGTCTAGAGAGAACAATAATGGAGGGGTATATGCCTGGGAAGAGAGGAAGAGGAAGGCCAAGGAGAAGATGGGTGCAGGATGTGGCAGATGATCTCCAGATGGGTGTATCAGACGCAGGACATCTTGCTCAGGATAGGAAGGTTTTCCGGAGGGTTGTTATGGCAGCGAGGTTCCGCGAGGGACATGCTACTGAATGAATGAATGAATGAATATGCAAATTATGTCATTTGCATATCTAAAAATAGAAAATTTGAATTTTCAACTTCAATGCTTGAAACAAAACTAAAAACAAAAATTTTTTTTATTTGAAATCTTTTTATTGATCTTTGGCCTTTTTACAAATGTTGTAAGCAATTCAATAGTCAAAAACAGGTATATATATGTGAAACAGCAATAATATCTTTAGGTGACATGTGTTTTTCACCATCAGTCAGCACTAGAAATGGATGTGCCGGAGTGTCAACACCTTCGGGTGGATATACCCTGAGCCATGGTTGGACTGTGGTCTGAACACAACAGCGTCCCCATCTGATTCCCACTATTACTACTAACACTAAATCCTGCATCAGTATCAACAGAATTAGTGTCATCTCTTGATTCAAATGTTTTATCAACATCAAGTTTAGGGGCAGAAACATACGAGTCAGACATACTTTTAGCGGTTCAGGTCACTATCTAAAAAATTCAACAACAATTTTCACTTCGATACCAAACACTCGAAAGCCGCCATGTGTAAAGCTGTTACAGTAGTTAATATAAATGAATCACTTCCAGTGTTTCAAAGTAGGAGATTTCTTAGCGGTTCGAGGCGAAACACGATCGGGCCGATGATCGGCCGTTCCGTGTTTTTGGCCAGACATCCGCCGGCCGATAATCGGCCCGTCCGTGCTAAGAGGGTTAAATATAGACAGTACTTCTTTATCATTTCGATTCCGGCTATCTTCTGATGAACGGTCCCAAATTATTATCGAGGCCGAAAATATACCCCAACAGGGCCTCAGTCACATGTCAATGCGCACTTCCGGCGACTTAAATTGCGCACTTCCGGCGACCACCGCCAAGAGTATCTCATATGCCGCTACGCGCCGCGTTGATTGGGGCTAAGCTAGATGGCTGGGACTCACGAGCAGCAGCTACCGAATCTCCTGCAGCTTCTTCTTTTTATTGGCTGGTCGTGAGTCCAAGCCATCTAGTTTAGCCCCAATCAAGGCCACAGGTAGCGGTGTGGGAGATACTCTCGGCGGTGGCGGAGGTCCTCAATTGACAAGTGACTGAGGCCCTGTTAGGGTATATTTTCGGCCTCGATAATTTGGGACCATTATTCAGAAGATAGCCTTGATTCCTTTGTTTATCGTAAGACTTTTCGAAAACCTGTAATAAATAAGGGCTTTATCTTTTTTTAGTTGTGCTCCAAGTTTCAGTTATCAACATTTTAAATATTTTGATCTTAGTGTTGCGAGACAAACACTTTGACTTAAGCAAATGTTGAAGGACATAGTATATCTTATTTCCAGATTGTTTTCTAGATTGCAAAACTATTTCTTCTCTCAGCATGTTGGAGTAGTCGAAGCTTGCACTTAAGTACTTATATGTTTCCGTTTGATTTTCATATTATCGACTTGTATGTGGCCGAAGTTTTTATCCTTTCCCTCTCTTCTTATTATCATGTATTCTGTCTTATCTTGTTTGATAACTAGTCCCATTTTCTGAGCTGATTCTTTTAAGACAGTCAGTGTTTTAACAGTCTGTAGCTCATTTTCTCCAGGGCCAAGTTAAAAAGAAGTGGGGACAGAGCATCACCTTGATGTCATTTGAATAGGGTCTGACTTTCTGCCTATTACTGTATTACAAATGTCTTCCATACATAGTGTGGTCATGGTAATTAACTTCTTTGGTATTCCAAAGTCTTTCATAGCATTCCATAAACTGTTTCTATGTACACTATCAAACAAATTTTTAAAATCCACAAAAACATTTCGTACATCTCTTCTATATTCCCAATTTTGCTCCACAGTTTGAAGTAAAATGAATATCTGATCTATTATTGATCTGTTCTGTCAGAAACCCGCTTAGTAATCTCCCAATATGTCTTCGACATACGTTTTTAGCCTGTTCGGCCGTACCGCTGATAGTATCTTATAGCTAATATAAAAATATAGATAAATGCAAAATATATAGACAGTACGGTTTAAAAAAAATAGCAATTCTGTAGTACAAAACAGACTATGAAACGTCCCTGTGACAATGCATATTTAAATATGTTAGATAGAGTTGACAAAATATCCTACCTGCCAACTTGTAGCCACACAGTTAAAATCGTTACATCCAGCTAGAGTGATGATATTTCTGTAATTTTTCTTATAGCATTTAGCTGGTTTTGAGTTAACATTTCTAGCCAGAGCGAGTTGTGTCACACATACCTAAAAGTGTCATCTGCCTACAAGCATCATCTGTCTGTTTCATCTGTCCACAAGTGTCATTTGCCTACAAGCGCCATCTGGCTGTTTCATCTGCCTACAACCATCATTTGTCTGTTTCTTTTGCCTACAAGTGTCATGTCTATTTCATCTGCCTACAAGAATCATTTATCTGTTTCATCTGCCTACATATGTAATCTGTCTGATTTATCTACCTACATCTACAAGAATCATTTGTCTGTTTCATTTGCATCTGTCATCTGCCTTATCAGTTATGTCTACCTACACATGGCTGTATGCCATACCTGCTGTTAGTAATAAATAAATACAGTGAGCTCTAACATTCTTCATATATGTTTACTCGTACTTCAGATGTGGGCAAATTGAGTCTGTAGATGAGCAGCGGAGGACACAGAGCTGGCTGTCGTGGGGCTTCAGTACCTTGGTGAAACAGCCACTGACTTGGGGAGTAGCTCGCCTCTTGGGTGCCACACACGCAGACAAAGCTGTCTATGTCTGGCCAGCAGTTGTCAAGGTAATCCCGTCGTAGTCAGGCATTTTGCTAATGTCATATCATTTCTCATACACTCCATTAATAGATGGATAAATTCATGTACAATGGAAGTTCATTCTGAAATGTTATTTATTCTTTAAAATTGTTCGAAAAAAGCTGTTTAAAAAATGAAACCATTTTCCTTAGAGGTAGTGGATTTGAGTCTGAGTTCCAGATGGTTGTTTATACATTTTAACTTTTACAACAAGACTCCAAGAATAGAATTCTTTGGAAAAGCAATTAAAAGGTATGCGGACTGATTACAAAACGGACTGAGTATAGTGAAGAAATAATCACTATAACCCTGGGAGAGTTTCCAGACAAGAGTGGAAATTGTTGCATCCTCCGTTGACTTAGAAGACTCATAAAAAAGCGTCCTATATCGCATTCTCTTCAGATTTTTATTGGACATGCATATTGAGACAAAATGTGACAAGTTGATCGGCGCCAAAGTACTCTTTGAAAGAACAGTATAGCATTAAAACTTCAACATATTTTAATGGGCTTGTCCCAGGGATCACCGTTGGCTCCTGTTCTCTTCAATGTGTACACATAAGTAGTCACCAGTGCATAGATAGTAGGTCTGGGGAGAACAGTGTCGGTCACAGATGATATCCATGTGCACCAGCAAGGAAGAAACGGACATGAAATTATAACAATGCTACAGTATGAATTAGACAGACTCAGTGACTTTTACCAGGAATCAAGAGCACAGGTAAACCTGGCAAAGGCCTCCCTAACATAGTTCTCCTTGAAATACCCTCATTGTCCGTACACCTACACAGTCGTAAGCATGTGCGGTATAGATATCAGCAGGACAAACATGATGAAATACCTGGTTGATATTTGACAGATTCTTGTCATGCAAGCATCAGTTAAACAATGTCATAGTAAGAGCCAGAAAAGGTCTAACAGCACTGCAGCTGATGGCAGCTGACGATATTGACCAATGCCTACTTTTCCTTCTTTATCAGGTCCTTGTACTTGTGTCCCTAAAAGTTATCTTAGCTAGTGATTAAACTGTTGTTTATTTCTGCAGAAGCTGTGTGAGCTAGTGATTATATTGTTGCTTCTGCCCCTCAGAAGTTATCTGAGCTAGTGACCATATTGTTGATTTTCCCAATAGGTTTTCTGAGCTAGTGATCGTATTGTTGCTTGTCCCTAAAAGTTGTCTGACCTAGTGATTATATTGTTGCTCATCCCGAGAAGTTGTCTTAGCTAGTGATTATATTGTTGCTTGTGTCCCCAAAGGTTGTCTTAGCTAGTGATTACATTGTTGCTTGTCTCGCCAGATACTGTGTGAGGTAGTGATTACATTGTTGCTTGTGTCGCCAGAAACTGTGTGAGGTAGTGATTACATTATTGCTTGTGTGGCCAGAAACTGTGTGAGGTAGTGATTACATTATCGCTTGTGTCTTCAGAAACTGTGTGAGGTAGTGATTACATTGTTGCTTGTGTGGCCAGAAACTGTGTTAGCTAGTGATTACATTGTTGCTTGTGTCTTCAGAAACTGTGTGAGGTAGTGATTACATTATTGCTTGTGTCGCCAGAAACTGTCTGAGGTAGTGATTACATTGTTGCTTGTGTCGCCAGAAACTGTGAGGTAGTGATTACATTGTTGCTTGTGTCCCCAGAAACTGTGTGAGGTAGTGATTACATTATTGCTTGTGTGGCCAGAAACTGTGTGAGCTAGTGATTACATTGTTGCTTGTCTCGCCAGATACTGTGTGAGGTAGTAATTACATTGTTGCTTGTGTCCCCAGAAACTGTGTGAGGTAGTGATTACATTATTGCTTGTGTGGCCAGAAACTGTGTGAGGTAGTGATTACATTATCGCTTGTGTCTTCAGAAACTGTGTGAGGTAGTGATTACATTGTTGCTTGTGTCGCCAGAAACTGTGTTAGCTAGTGATTACATTGTTGCTTGTGTCTTCAGAAACTGTGTGAGGTAGTGATTACATTATTGCTTGTGTCGCCAGAAACTGTGTGAGGTAGTGATTACATTGTTGCTTGTGTCGCCAGAAACTGTGAGGTAGTGATTACATTGTTGCTTGTGTCCCCAGAAACTGTGTGAGGTAGTGATTACATTATTGCTTGTGTGGCCAGAAACTGTGTGAGGTAGTGATTACATTATTGCTTGTGTCTTCAGAAACTGTGTGAGGTAGTGATTACATTGTTGCTTGTGTGGCCAGAAACTGTGTTAGCTAGTGATTACATTGTTGCTTGTGTCCCCAGAAACTGTGTGAGGTAGTGATTACATTATTGCTTGTGTCGCTAGAAACTGTGTAAGGTATTGATTACATTGTTGCTTGTGTCGCCAGAAACTGTGAGGTAGTGATTACATTATTGCTTGTGTCTTCAGAAACTGTGTGAGGTAGTGATTACATTGTTGCTTGTGTCGCCAGAAACTGTGTGAGGTAGTGATTACATTGTTGCTTGTGTCGCCAGAAACTGTGTCTGGTAGTGATTACATTGTTGCTTGTGTCGCCAGAAACTGTGTGAGGTAGTGATTACATTATTGCTTGTGTCGCCAGAAACTGTGTGAGGTAGTGCTTACATTGTTGCTTGTGTCGCCAGAAACTGTGTGAGGTAGTGATTACATTGTTGCTTGTGTCGCCACCAGATCATGATGGGTCAGTATGCGTTGGAGCAGGTTAACCAGTTCAAATACCTTGGAGTTGTATTAGACCGAAATGGAGGCATTAAGACTGAGCTGGCTACACGAAAAGCAGCTGCTGGGAGACTCTTCCAGGCCATAAACCGAGGGTTTCTTAGCAAAAGAGAAATTGGCAAGAGGACGAAAATGGCTGTTTACCGCTCTACCTATGTACCAGTCCTGACCTATGGGTGTGAGTCATGGGCAATGACAACAGCTCACAGAAGCCAGCTGCAGGCCTCGGAAATGAGATACCTGAGAAAGGTGGTCCAAGTGACAAGAAGGGACAAAGTCCGCAATCAGACAATACGTCAAGATCTTGATACCCAGCCCTTACTAACCCGAGTGGATCAGTCACAGTTACGATGGTTTGGACATGTGTGCAGAATGGGAGAAAATCGGCCACCATGGCAAGCATGGGAGGCTAAGAACCAGGGAACCAGACCTCCGGGACGACCCAGGGTGCGCTGGGAAGACAACATCCGACAGTCCCTGACTGACAGAGGACTGGAATGGAACAAAGCCAGAAAGAAAACTGCTGATAGAGACGTCTGGCGATCTCTCTGGCAAACCTCTACACCCCAAGGTAGAAGAGGAGCGACTAAGTAAGTAAGTAAGCTTGTGTCGCCAGAAACTGTGTGAGGTAGGGATTACATTGTTGCTTGTGTCCCCAGAAACTGTGTGAGGTAGTGATTACATTGTTGCTTGTGTCTTCAGAAACTGTGTGAGGTAGTGATTACATTATTGCTTGTGTCTTCAGAAACTGTGTGAGGTAGTGATTACATTGTTGCTTGTGTCCCCAGAAACTGTGTGAGGTAGTGATTACATTGTTGCTTGTGTCGCCAGAAACTGTGTGAGGTAGTGATTACATTGTTGCTTGTGTCTTCAGAAACTGTGAGGTAGTGATTACATTGTTGCTTGTGTCCCCAGAAACTGTGTGAGGTAGTGATTACATTATTGCTTGTGTCACCAGAAACTATGTGAGTTAGTAGTTACATTGTTGCTTGCGTCTTCAGAAACTGTGTGAGGTAGTAGTTACATTATTGCTTGTGTCTTCAGAAACTGTGTGAGGTAGTGATTACATTGTTGCTTGTGTCGCCAGAAACTGTGTCTGGTAGTGATTACATTGTTGCTTGTGTCGCCAGAAACTGTGTGAGGTAGTGGTTACATTATTGCTTGTGTCCCCAGAAACTGTGTGAGGTAGTGATTACATTGTTGCTTGTGTCTTCAGAAACTGTGTGAGGTAGTGATTACATTGTTGCTTGTGTCTTCAGAAACTGTGTGAGGTAGTGATTACATTGTTGCTCGTGTGGCCAGAAACTGTGTGAGGTTGTGATTACATTGTTGCTTGTGTCTTCAGAAACTGTGAGGTAGTGATTACATTGTTGCTTGTGTCCCCAGAAACTGTGTGAGGTAGTGATTACATTATTGCTTGTGTCGCCAGAAACTGTGTGAGGTAGTGATTACATTGTTGCTTGTGTCGCCAGAAACTGTGTGAGGTAGTGATTACATTGTTGCTTGTGTCTTCAGAAACTGTGTGAGGTAGTGATTACATTGTTGCTTGTGTCGCCAGAAACTGTGTGATGTAGTGATTACATAGTTGCTTGTGTCTTCAGAAACTGTGTGAGGTAGTGATTACATTGTTGCTTGTGTCCCCAGAAACTGTGTGATGTAGTGATTACATTGTTGCTTGTGTCTTCAGAAACTGTGTGAGGTATTGATTACTTTATTGCTTGTGTCGCCAGAAACTGTGTGAGGTAGTGATTACATTGTTGCTTGTGTCGCCAAAAACTGTGTGAGGTAGTGATTACATTATTGCTTGTGTCGCCAGAAGTTGTGTGAGGTAGTGATTACATTGTTGCTTGTGTCTTCAGAAACTGTGAGGTAGTGATTACATTGTTGCTTGTGTCGCCAGAAACTGTGTGAGGTAGTGATTACATTATTGCTTGTGTCTTCAGAAACTGTGAGGTAGTGATTACATTGTTGCTTGTGTCCCCAGAAACTGTGTGAGGTAGTGATTACATTGTTGCTCTTGTCCCCAGAAACTGTGTGAGGTAGTGATTACATTATTGCTTGTGTCGCCATAAACTGTGTGAGGTAGTGATTACATTATTGCTTGTGTCTTCAGAAACTGTGTGAGGTAGTGATTACATTATTGCTTGTGTCTTCAGAAACTGTGTGAGGTAGTGATTACATTGTTGCTTGTGTGGCCAAAAACTGTGTGAGGTAGTGATTACATTGTTGCTTGTGTCTTCAGAAACTGTGTGAGGTAGTGATTACATTGTTGCTTGTGTCGCCAGAAACTGTGTCTGGTAGTGATTACATTGTTGCTTGTGTCGCCAGAAACTGTGTGAGGTAGTGATTACATTATTGCTTGTGTCACCAGAAACTGTGTGAGGTAGTAGTTACATTGTTGCTTGCGTCTTCAGAAACTGTGTGAGGTAGTGATTACATTGTTGCTTGTGTCGCCAGAAACTGTGTGAGGTAGTGATTACATTGTTGCTTGTGTCGCCAGAAACTGTGTCTGGTAGTGATTACATTGTTGCTTGTGTCGCCAGAAACTGTGTGAGGTAGTGATTACATTATTGCTTGTGTCGCCAGAAACTGTGTGAGGTAGTGCTTACATTGTTGCTTGTGTCGCCAGAAACTGTGTGAGGTAGTGATTACATTGTTGCTTGTGTCGCCACCAGATTATGATGGGTCAGTATGCGTTGGAGCAGGTTAACCAGTTCAAATACCTTGGAGTTGTATTAGACCGAAATGGAGGCATTAAGACTGAGCTGGCTACACGAAAAGCAGCTGCTGGGAGACTCTTCCAGGCCATAAACCGAGGGTTTCTTAGCAAAAGAGAAATTGGCAAGAGGACGAAAATGGCTGTTTACCGCTCTACCTATGTACCAGTCCTGACCTATGGGTGTGAGTCATGGGCAATGACAACAGCTCACAGAAGCCAGCTGCAGGCCTCGAAAATGAGATACCTGAGAAAGGTGGTCCAAGTGACAAGAAGGGACAAAGTCCGCAATCAGACAATACGTCAAGATCTTGATACCCAGCCCTTACTAACCCGAGTGGATCAGTCACAGTTACGATGGTTTGGACATGTGTGCAGAATGGGAGAAAATCGGCCACCATAGCAAGCATGGGAGGCTAAGAACCAGGGAACCAGACTCCCGGGACGACCCAGGGTGCGCTGGGAAGACAACATCCGACAGTCCCTGACTGACAGAGGACTGGAATGGAACAAAGCCAGAAAGAAAACTGCTGATAGAGACGTCTGGCGATCTCTCTGGCAAACCTCTACACCCCAAGGTAGAAGAGGAGCGACTAAGTAAGTAAGTAAGCTTGTGTCGCCAGAAACTGTGTGAGGTAGGGATTACATTGTTGCTTGTGTCCCCAGAAACTGTGTGAGGTAGTGATTACATTGTTGCTTGTGTCTTCAGAAACTGTGTGAGGTAGTGATTACATTATTGCTTGTGTCTTCAGAAACTGT